GTGGAACTGGGGGAACACAGTGTGGGGCTGGGGCAACATAGTGTGGAACTGGGGGAACACAGTGTGGGGCTGGGGAACACAGTGTGGAACTGGGGGAGCACAGTGTGGAACTGGGGGAGCACAGCGTGGAACTGGAGGAACACAGTGTGGAGCTGGGGAACACAGCGTGGAGCTGGGGGAGCACAGTGTGGAACTGGGGGAACACAGCAGGCCAGGCAGCGTCAGGGGGGAGCAGGAAAGTTGACGTTTTGGGTCGGGACACTGTATCAATGCTGAGCTCTGTCTGACGTTCTCTCTCTCTCTCTCTCTGTCTGTCTCTGTCTGTCTATCCGTTTCCCAGACAGCATGGCGTGCAGTTTTGAGGTGGTAGACAGAGCTCACTGTAAGCTCCTCCTGCATGAGCTGAACGAGCAGAGGATGCGGGGCAGCTTCTGTGATGTGACCATCGTGGTGCAGGACAGCAAGTTCAAGGCCCACAAGAACATCCTGGCCGCCTTCAGCTGCTACTTCCGGGAACGCTTGACGGGTCCCAGCCTCTGGGCGATGGAGTCCGTTTTCGAGCTGCGGGAAATGAGAGCCGAAGTCTTCGCCAAGATCCTCAACTTCATCTACAGCTCCCAGGTGGTCATCGAGAGGCTGGACGAGGCTGACGCCCTGGCGAGCGCAGGTCACCGGCTGGGCATCCACTTCCTGAAGGACCTCCTGCAGCGTCTGTCCCAGCCCACACCGGACTCCTCCTCTTCCTCGCTCTCGCCGCCCTCTTCCGCCCCCCTCCCTCGGTGGCAGACCGTGAGGAAGCACCGAGGCAACGCCGGTGCCTACCAGGAGGGCGACAGCGCCCTGGGACTAGGCCCGAGGGAGCCTTTCCTAGGCCCTGAGGCCTTGCCTGGGCCTGCCTTCCCCATCGATCTGACAGACTCTTCCATCCGACTGGGTGGAGACGGCGACAGGATCCCTCCCGCTCCCTCCTTCCCTCCCCAGGCTCCCTCGGGGCAGAGCGGGGAGGCCGCCAACGGTGAGGGAGAGGACAACTCCTCGGCCTCTCGGGACGGCCTGTTCCCAGCTGACGGCACCGCCCGGAGGCTCCTGACCCTCAACACTGTCGCCATCAGAGGCCTAGGCTTCAACGTGGAGCAGGAAGCCTCGCGCCAACTCGCTGCTGACTCACCCAGGCCCCTCCAGCCGGAAGGCCCCAACGCCGCCATCACTCCGACCCCCTCATCCTCCACCTCCTCCTCCTCCGCGCCCCTCAGCGACACCGAGCCCCGAGTCACTGGGGGCGCGGAGCTGAGCTGCCAACACTGCCTCAGGCCCTTCGTCCACCTCAAGAGGCTGCAGAGCCACCAGATGGTGTGCCGGCAAGGAGGGGGCAGGCCGGGAACGGGGCGGGAGGCCGGGAGCGCCCCTCAGGCCCAGGGGGCTGGCAGGAAGAGCCGTCGGAGGGACGCGGCCCTGGGCAGCGAGGCGGAGGACCACATGGTGAAGGTGGTGGACGGCCACGTCCTGTACTTCTGCGCGGTGTGCGAACGCTCCTATGTCACTCTGTCCAGCCTCAAGCGTCACGCCAACGTCCATTCGTGGCGCCGCAAGTACCCGTGCCATTTCTGCGACAAGGTCTTCGCCCTGGCCGAGTACCGCACCAAACACGAGGTGTGGCACACCGGCGAGAGAAGGTACCAGTGCATCTTCTGCTGGGAGGCCTTCGTCACCTACTACAACCTCAAGACCCACCAGAAATCCTTCCATGGCGTTGACCCAGGCCTGACCATCAGCCAGAAGACAGCCAATGGCGGTTACAAGCCCAAACTCAACGCCTTCAAGCTCTACCGCCTCCTGCCCATGAGAAACCACAAGAGGCCGTACAAGACCTACAGCCGCACCACCCCCTCGGACTCTGCCCCCCAGACGGTCCCCATGGAGACGCCCCATCCCACCGTCGCCGTGGAGACCTCCCATCCCACCATCCCCATGGAGGCCTCCCATCCCACCGTCGCCGTGGAGGCCTCCCATCCCACCGTCACCGTGGAGACCCCCCATCCCACCGTTCCCGTGGAGACCTCCCATCCCACCGTCGCCGTGGAGACCTCCCATCCCACCGCCGCTGTGGAGACCTCCCCTCCCACCG